TCGCTGCTGCTCTGGGAGTGATAACATCTTAACCACAGGTAGACCTCCAAAACTATTTGGGTATTTTCACAGCTTTGAAAAAGTGAAGTCCTATCTTTCCAGTAAGTCAAACTCCTCAAAACCTAGACATATTTTACCCTTTTTAATCTAGGAAACTGAATGAGGATCAACAAAGGATCATACTATCACAATCTTATGGAGCCAGACTTCCAATTTTCTTTGCACATAAATCAGAATTTCATTGCAATCACTTAGAAGGCATAACTTTATCACTGAACAAGCCTGTAAGTCAGTCATATAGCCTCTCCAAACTACACCCACTTGCACTATAAGTAGTCTACTACCAGAATTAAATAAAAATTTGAATTTAAAAAGTGTTTGAATGAATTCATAACTAAGGAGGAGAAAATACTAAGGACCCTATTGTGAAACACACCTTTCATGGGAGGAATATTTATGGAGGAATATTTATGACTTTAAAACTAAACAGGAAATACAAGTAACAAAGTTTTATGCCCTTAGGAGCTTACACCAAATTTAAAATTACATTATCTCTCAGAAAATCTGAAATACCTAATAGTGATCTTAATTTCTATTTACTTATTTCACGGAATTTGGACAAATCTTCAGATTTCAGATTGTCTCTACGAAAAAGATAAAAGAATTTTGTATTAGTTGAAAAAAATCTTCTGCAGATACTTTGAATGAAGTTGAGTGTTGTCAAAACAACTTTATCACAGAAGCCAAATAATATATGCTAAACAGTTATGTAAAGTTGTACTTCTTCTATTTTGCTAAAAGTTCAATTTTAAGCAAATCCAAATCAATCACAATTCACTGAACATTTTAAAAAGCACAAAAAATAGGCAGTTCTCTAAGTATATAAAAAATAACATGCTCAGATGTCTACATTCAAATGAACATAATTGCATTTAATTGATTCCTCCTTTCAATTAAATGGTGACTATTATTCATCCCCATTCATAAGCATTCGATATTAATCCCTATCTTTACTGGCAGGGTCACTTTTACCAGACATCAAAGCAGTGCTAACTATACTTTTTGATAAAAGCCAAGATTATGAAGCTGGACTGGCAGACAGTAACAGTGTAATTGCATACAGTTCATACCTGTTGTTCAACAACAATAAACCAAAGAAAAAAAAAATTGTTGGTAGCTGTAGCAGTGGTCTAAATTCACCTGAAAATTAGGGAGCCCTGTGGACGGTGAATGCAACTTCTATTATAGTGACCATGTATGCGTACGCTCTTCAAAGTGCAGCTGACAACAGCCAGCTGACAATCTCATTCTAAGGGAAAAGATAATGTGGGACTTACTTCATAAAAGCTTCTTTATGTAGCAGCATGATTCAGAAATATGTAAGTGTTCCATTTTTCAAAGTTCTTCCTGTTCACTGTTTACCAGAAGAGAGTGCATGTATGAATTGGCAAGCCTTTTGCATATTTTTTGGCACTTCAAATTATTTTAAGACTAATGCTGGCATTTTCATAACTGCTAAATCATTAAAAAGATAATATTTTAAGTCTGCAGGGAAGCTAGCTTGGCACAGTTCTCGCTTGCTTGCTTACCTGAAGTAATTTTTTTCCTGCCAAATACATAAAATCTCAGAAGAATCACTACTCTCTCCTATTGTATCTTGGTGGAGTAAATCAACTTAAATAAGAACTAACCCAATGAATTCTTATATTTCCTGTAAACCAGATGTTCTTATATTCACATATGTTCAAAACCTTTCTTCTAGTTTTGGGAAAGCTGCTAACCAGTCTGGCTGTCAGGCTAAGCTTTCCAGCCTCAACACTGCAGTTACTGCAGCTTCTGCTGAAATGATGACTAGGCTGCAGCTCCAGGCAGCCTTTCACCTGGCCTCAGAGCAGCTGAATGAAGACCTACTATTCCAAAAGCTCATGCTATGCAGCACTAGAGGAATGCATTCTTAAGACACTGTTTGCTCCTGAACTTTGGGATTTTTGTGCTGGTTTAGTTGTTGAATAACAAAAAAAAAAAAATGTTATAAATGTGGCAGAGCAAATGATCACCTAGAATAATAACTAAAGACACTGGTTTCCCTAATATAAAGTCATTAATTGGATGTGCTATTTGAAGAGGTAACAAAAAATCTTAGGTATCCATTCCTCTCCAGAGTAAATATTAAGTAAAGGACTAAAAGTACCTCCAAAGCAAATATTTCTTTTTTATTAACCATAATAAACTAAGAGTGGCAAAGAAAGTCACATAAAACTTGCCAGAACATAGTTATTGAACATTGCAGTTTCTAATCTCAGCAATAAATGTAGGTCAAGGTAACTGGAAAATCTAATTACTCTGTAAATTTTTAAACCTGCTTCTTTCTTCTCAAGGAAAAGAAAATTGTTCCTTTGCATTTAAGCAGACTTCACTTCGAAGTGTAACTACAGCTAGGTGAGAAATAATTTTTGCCTGAATGTTGAGGTTGTTGAATCTCCTTCTTTGCACCCTGGGTTGTACACTCAGCTCTAGTTCACACTTGTCCTCAAGGTATCACCACTTACTTCACAATTACTAGAGCTGAAACACAAAATCCAGAGACACTCATCAGAAAAATGCAGACAAAAAAACTCCCATCATTGAATAAAACAGATCTTTAGTACCACACTGCAGCAGTTCCTTTCAGTAATATATCCCATTTGATACCCACTGTTCATACACTGCATTAAGCAAGTACAATGCAATGCGTTGTTACAAAACTATTATGAATATTAGTATCTGATAGCATTGTAAATATCGATTATACACTGATTATATGACTTTTTCACACAGTTGATGCTGATTTCAGTCTATACACAGACCATATTACTTAGATTTACAAGAAAAAAAGAAGAATTGAGAAAAAATACAAAAACTTTGAAGATTCAAGCCTCCTGACAACTCTAAAAACCAAGGATTGTTTCAGGATCACATTTCCAAACAAAAAAAAAAAAAAAATTAGTCATTTCAGGCACTTAAGATGAATTCACAGCACAATGAATCTCAGCTTCTCTCTCTCACAACAAAAAACAAAAACAAAACAAACAAAAGGATTGGAAGCTGTAACGACAGCCAGCCACTGACTGGCCCGTCTCACAGAGCTCTGTCTGCCAGCCCTTACCTCTGCAATACGTGACAAGGAAACCACGAGTTTCACAACAGACAGATTTGTGTGTTGTGTTCTGATTTGGCAGTCAAATGTTTTGTTTGTTTTTGGGGGGTGGGAGGGGTGAGCTGTACAGAAGTGGAAAACCTGGCCTAAGGTCATCTGATCTTTGGACGGTGCTCTCATTAAGTAAAAATCCTATTTTTGAACCTCCTCCAATTCCATGAGAGATGAAGTCTTCCAAACAAACAAAACCAAAAACAACAACAAGTTAATTCAAAAAGATCCATGTGGAAGACAAAAAATGGGTTTGTATTGAAAGGTAAACCCTGAAACACTAGCTCAAGGAACCACGCAAACCAAAATGAGTTCTACACTAGTCTGTTTGAAAAAGCAAAAGAATGACAAGATTTTTTTTTGCTTTATGCATTTGATGAATGACATCTACCTGGTTTATAGAGATGTAAGATGTGTCTTTTAAACTACATGAGAATTCAGCAGACTGCACCACACTCCCTGCTCTGTATCATGGACGAATTTATGAATACAATCATCAAAACCATTCCTCAGTATTCTCAAAGCCTTCCAATATTCATTTGGTAACCTTTGAACTAAAAATTTCAGACACTAATTAAGTATTGGTCCTTCCCTCATATTAAAAAAAAAAAAAAAAAAAAAAAAAAACCAAAAACAAACAAATAAACAAAAAAAAAAAAAAAACCCAACTTATAAGAATTTATCCTGACTGAAGAGCCATTAAATTGCTAAAATCATGTGTAGCCTGAGGCCTGACTGGTAACAAGCAGCAATAAATGAGACCTGGAACTGCACTGAATGAGCAGAAAGGAAGAAACCTTATCTGCCAGTCCATTTGCGAAGCGGCAAAAGTGGCAAACTGGCAGGAGCCTTCTTAAACATATATGTTTATACAAGTAACTAATGTGGAAAAGCAAATTAAATATGGAGTTTCTTAATCTCTGTTTGTTTGACTTTACAGCTTATTATAACTTTGGCAAAATAATATAACTCATTACAATTGTGCTTTCTTTCCTTCAGCTTTCATGGTTCTGAAGCGTGACGTTGCACTGATTCATTGCACTTCATTCATATTCTGAAGAAGAGAAGGTCTAAATTTCACTAAGAACCAGAGCAACCAGTGATGATAATCCAATCTCCCTTCAATGCATGCCATAAACAGCACATAAAAAGTCTGACTTGTTACAGATCAACAAAACTGTTAAAAAAATAATACTAGGATGAAAAAAATAGGTGTTCTGGAACAGCAAGAAACAAGCAGAATACAAGTTTAAAGCACATTGGTCCACCCTAGAAGCAGAAGAGAGCCTGCTGAACAGCAAGAAGGTTCGGATGAAGGAAAAAGTTTATGGGACAGTTGAGATGGGAATTTTTTACAACCATGCCACTAGAATAAGGACAAACTACCTTCTGTCTGCCAACACGGCTGAGTAATCTTTCATGCACAAGCACTGAATGCATTGATGACTGCTTGCAGTTGACAGCAATCCGGGGCATTGAAAGGAGTGGCATTTTCTAGTTTGCTTTTGGATGGGTTTTGTGAGTAGTTTGGGGTATTTTTATGACAATTATCCGATGATAATAAAAGTATGGAGCTGGCAGCATCGGGGGGCCTTTGCATTGGGGTAAAAGTATGCTACTGGCAGCACTGGGGGGCTTTTTTGTCTATCCTGAGCTCGCAAATAATAAAACACAAAAGAAACAAAACCAGCCTGAGCTGCCCGCACCCCAGCCTACATGCAGCATGTTTTCCAAAACCAAGTTATTTCTAAAGGGGGTTAGCTCACACTGCGAAAGCTACACTCTTATTACGGCACTCGAGCCATGTGCGTACCCCATGTACCGCGCAGGGAAAGCCGCCCCGCCTCGCACACCTACGCGGGCTCGGTGCCATAGCAGCTGCCGGTCACAGACCAAAGCCCTCCCGCGCCCCGCCGGTCACCGGGCAAAGGCCCAGCGGCCCTGGAGCGGCGCCTGCGCCGGGCCCGCGGGGCCGGCCCGCTTTCCCGGGCCCTCAGAGCGCCCGCCCCGCGGCGCCGAT